ATCAGAAATAGGAGATAGAAAAAGGGTACCCAAACTTTAGTATCAGGATCCTTGTGAAGGGTCTCTTGTTGTTGAATTCTCTCTCTCAAGTCGTAGATCGGGAAATCCAATCCCTCAACAAATTAATCACTGGGCTGAAAAATATCACAATATATCCTTAAGTCCTTCAATGACTTTTCAGTAAAGTTCTTCTCGACACCTCATGTCCTTTGTTCCCTCTGTACAATGCTAAAACGTACCAAAAGGGTTGTCTATACATCTGTCCACACCATGGTCCAAACCACAACTCTCTAGTATTCTCTCTTCTTACCCTTAGGATTGCACACCCTTCTCTTTTTCTCCAGACTTTCTATGACCATATATAGAAAGTAAGTTCGAATAAGAAAATTCCAGGTAGAACAGACAATAGAACAAAGGGGAAAGTAGGAATGGAAACAAGAAATATAATATAAAATATAAATACACAATTGCAATGCAGATATGGCATATAGCCACAATAATCACTTAAAATATAATATATATGTTACTGTAAAAGACTGAAATTAGAGAATGTCGATATTCTCTGGTGAATGTTGACACATACAAAATATGTCAGTGAAAGACCGAATATTTGGTTATATTATTATACATTCGAACAATCGCCAGTGTATGTTGACAAGCACAGATAAGCTTTGGTGGAGGTCAAAACGACACCCGAGAAGCCAATGTCGACAGAAAGGCAACAGTCTGTCTCCAAATCCTTTGTTCTGCCACAATTGATGAAATCACATGGCATCTATTTGTTATACTCTGGAACACTGCTGTTTGTCAGTCTTATGCAAGGTTTGCTAGTGCGTGCAACATTTTCTTAAATTTTATTTTTTTATCCAATACCCTAATTTATATTGAACGAATACTGCAGTGTACCAAGAACTTTTTTTTGAAAAGTTATATGCATTAATTACAAGTAATTGAGAAGACAATTGTTTTTATTTTTCTCAAGAAAAGTACTCTAAAATACTTTCTGAAGTGATTTCTGCTAAAACTAAGTGCAACACACTTTTGGATTACAGACGATTAAAACGTTTTGATGTTTTAAAAATTAATGATGAAGAGAAATTAGTTGTACCATTAAAACCAGAAGAAACGAAAGGTATTGCACTTAAAGTGCACCTAAAAAAGGTATTGTTGTGAAAACAATGGTCAGTTCGGAATTAAACTCAAGATGTCAAGTCGATCTGATAGACCTGTAATCACACAAGGATGGCAAATATAAGTTCATAATGGTGTATCAAGATCGTTTAATGAAATTTGTCCAGCTACTACCTTTGAAAACTAAGACAGCTGAAGAAGTAGCATATCACCTTCTTCAAATATTTTTAACATTTGGTGCCCCAGCTATATTGCATTCAGATAATGGGTAGGGAATTCTGTAATCAAGTCATATCCGAACTATGCGCTATGTGGAAAGATGTAAGATAGTTCATGGAAAGCCCCGTCATACTCAAAAACAAGGCTCAGTTGAAAGGGCCAATCAGGATATACAGAATGTGTTAACTGCATGGATGAATGATAACGATACAAATAAATGGTCAGATGGTTTGCCCTTTTTACAATTTTCCAAGAACACTACATATCACAAAGGAATATGTCAAAGTTCTTACAAAGCCATGTTTGGCATTAACCAAAAAGAGGCATAGCATCGTCATCTTTGCCTGGTGAACAAATCACAAATATTGAAACCGAAGAACAGCTCAAAGAAATTGTTAATACTTTTGAAGGAAATTTGAGCAGTGGCCATAACAAATACCATATTCCAAAGGAGAATATTGAAGAGGAGCTGCAACCCACCACATCTTCCTGTCAAGCCCTGACTGAACAACACAAATTTATTTCTATAAAAAAAGTAGCCACAAAAGAGAATCTTCTACTGCAAGCAACGAAAATGTTACAAACTTCAAAAAGAAAATTTCCTCCTGCTCAAATTGGTGATACTATACGAATACAAGTCCCTGATGTCGACCGTGACTGTACAGATGCCCAAAATGTGTTGGCGGTTGTTGTTGGAATGGAAGACTCCAACTTTTATAAATTAGCGAACAAAAAAGGTACCCTCAAGCAGCTTTATACCCGCAATCAGTTCGTAATTTGTAAAGAAAAGTTACTTTCCATAGATGAGATTTCTTCTCAAGAAATATCGCTGAGAGAAGCAGCTGCAGATAATTTGAAAAGTGGAGGGCAAGGCTATACACACTGTCAATGCAAAAAGAAGTGTTCCATGAATAAATGCAGTTGTAAAAGCAAGGAACTCTTCTGAAATTCAAAGTCTCATAACAGTTTAAGTTGTTGCAATAAATAAGATTGTATAACATTAATCACATAATATATATGTAAGTTTTACTTTTTTGATTAAGAATGTACTGTTCATTTTAGGTTCAACAGTTTATTTACATGTGCTGTTACTTAAGCTTTCTCCTATCTTGACATATTAAAAAGTTGCATTTTTGTCTTAACGTAATAAAAATATTTTTATTCAACATTCACCATCAGTACATGCTGAATGTGGACATTTGCCAGTGTAAGTGAGAAATAATGATATCTAGCAATTAAAACGACTGTGTGAATGCTGACATTCACCAGAGAATCTTGACATTTGCCAGATGTCAGTCTTTCACAGTAACATATATATTATATTTTAGCTGGTTAGCTATTCAAACATTTGGTTCAAATTGCTTTACTGAAGAGATCAAAAACATATGACATTTAAACTAATTAAGCTATTTTGGTGTTACATTTTTATTTTATTACTGGAGTGTAAATATATCATATACACGGGGCATTACAAAAATGATGAGCAGGCTAGATGCAGTCGTACTATACTCACTGAAATAAAATATGGTCTAAAATGCATAAAATATTGTTTCTGAGGTATACCCATATATCCACTTCAGTTTTCCTTCAAACAATAAAATACTTGTATTAAAATAAATGAAAATACTATATATCAGCATTAATTAACTTTAATTGGTAAGCAATTTCACAATATTCACAAACAGAATAAATTAGGAAAGTTGCTAATCAACTAAAATTAACACTGATAGAAAGTTCCTTTTCAAAAGTTCCAAGAACCTTTTCTCTGGATTACAAGAATGCTACACACATAATTTGGACATATAGCAACCATACCTTCTACATTAAGACTGATAGAAAGTATTTACATTTATTTTAATGTGTTGAATGCATCTTGAATAACTTTGAAAAATATCTGTATTCAGTTCAAATGATTATCTTTAATGAGTTCAAATAATACAATAAATTGCAACAATAAAAACAAATTAATTAAGAAAATTACTGACATAGTAGATTTTTAAGAGATGTTTGAAATGACCTCCTTGTGCAACAATGCATTGTCGAGACCATCATACCAAGGACTGCCTCACCAACATAAAAATCCCTGATGTGTTCCAGATTTGCTGGCATCCGTTTTGTACTCTTTGATGAAGATCTGCAGTATCATGAACTAGAGTATAATATGCTAAAGCTTTTAAATAACCTCATACGTGGAAGTTGAAAAAATTGAGATCTGGAAACTGAACACACCAAGATGTAGATCCTGCATGATCAATTCATTTTCCAGAATAGTTCCTGGAAGATCCATTTTTCTTGGTTGATATAATAATATATGAACAACCCACTAAACACACTTAGCCATAATGATGTGATCAGTGTCACATAATTCTTATCCTACTTGCTGCTGACACTTAAAGAGGTATACCTCAGAAATGATGCATTTCAAACAATATGCTTACATAAACTTTTTATTTCAATAATTATAGTACAGAAATGTAGAGCCAACCCATCATTTTTGTAACACTATAATTTAAAACATTTTTACAATACAGGGTGTTCCACTTGAAAGTTCCCAATTTTAATTTGCCACAAAAAATGAATGATTTAAGATATATAAAAGTAACAAGTGGTGTCCGGTGGGAAAACTCATCAAGTTTTAAATAGATTGTTTTTTTCTGCAAGATTGCACAGAAGTTGAATCATGAGCATTATTGTCCAGTCATCACTTGGCCACAGGAGAAAGCACAGGTCTGGTATGCCTGATAGCATGGCCATCAAGATCACCTGATCTGACCCCTTTAGATTTCTTTCTGTGGAGTTGCTTGAAAGATATGGTTTATGCAAGTTTGGTCAGAGACCTTCAGGATCTTTTCGAGTGCATCATTGCAGCCGTTGCCACTGTGAGACAGGACATGCTGCAGCATACATAGCAGGAAATTGCCTACTGCGTTGATCAGGCATGGCCAACATACGGCCCGTCTAATGAATTTATGTGGCCCGCGATCAATCTTTCAATATTAGCTACTCAAGTCCAAATAGCTCAATGAAAAATTCTGATGCCTAAAAAAAAAAGGCCAATAACTCGCTGTGCGTTTTAGAGTTAACCCTCCATTACAAATCTCATAAGTACAGCATAGAATGTTGATAAAGCATGATAATGTGAAAAATGTATCTATGTACTGTAAAATTTAGTCTCTACGGAGTGACACCACAATGAGATCTCGCACCACCTCAAAATCTTCCTAGGGCAGCTTCTGGTTTGGCCCGTGGAAAAAGTTTTTTTCCAATTCAGCCCAGGGGCAAAAAACTGTTGGCCACCCCTGGCCTTGATTTTGTCACTGTGACTCCTGGAGCACACACAGAGGTTTGATGATTTTTTTAAATGAAGGTGAGTTTTTCTGTCATATAAAATCTTTGCAGAGCAAAATCTTTGTTACACCACCCAACAAAGCAATTCCTTTTATATACAAATAAATAAACATACCAAAATAATAGCAGTATTAACTGTATCTCAAATGTTTTCAGTCTAATTCATAGATCATATCATCGGGAGTTTTAATTGACAGAGAAACAAATTCAAAAGAACAAATTTGATAACAAAAATGGTTTTATGTAAATATAAAATAAATACTGCTTTATAAATGTAAAATAAATTCATTGAATATATATACATACAGTAAGACCTCGTTTAGAGTTTCCTCGATTAACGCTGATTCGATATAACATGGTCTGTCCAAAGCCTAAAAAGAAAGCTTAAAATTTACACTTATTCAAATTATTGCTGCATTTCATTAATTCATATATAATAAAATTATTCCTGAACACAAATCAATCAGCAAAAGGTTCATTGTATGCTGTACTTTCCCTAAATCTACGTTTGTTTGGTGCAATTTTGGAAAAAATATAACATCATGGATGCCATAGGCAATATCAACTTCACTTGGAAAGAATTAACTTTCAAATGCATGAATGGTGTATGGAAGAAGGTATGGCTGGAGGTATCTAAGAATTCTCAATGAGAAGAGCCTATCATTGACAAAATTGTCAACCTAATCAATACAGCAGGACTAGATGTAGATGAGCAGGATATTGAGAAGTTACTGCAGGTTTCTGGTGAGAGCCTTACCAACAACGACCTTCAAGAACTGGCAGAACAAGGAATTCATGTTGAAACTGGAAAATAGAGATTCTGAAAACGAAAACGAACAAAGAACTTGCTACAGATTTCCTTAGTAAAAGTTTGGTAATGATAACAGAAATCGTTGATCAAACTGTAGCAAATGATCCAGATTTTGAAAGGAGTGCGAAAGCAAGATGAGGCTTTTGGATTCAATCTCCTGCTACTGACATTTGCTTAACAAAAGAAAAAGAAAGTGACAAATGACACTAAACAAGTTCATCACAAAAAAAATCAAGAATTTCAGAAGAGCCAGGACCTTCATCACAAAAATGAACTTCATATTTCTGTGTGCATATGTTTGTGTGTTATGTAACATATATTATTATGCAAATTAATATAAAAATAAATTTAAATTAAAGTAAAATTTGTTTATTTTTGGTCGAGTGTTCCCTTTTCCCTATCTACTGTGGATTAAAATGTCCTTGTTTAACACTGTTTCATTTAGCGCTTTGTCATCTAGGAATGCATCCTAAGCACTAAATGAGGTCTAACTCTATGTTCATAATTTATAAATTAAGGCAAATTTCTACCTGGAGGAAAGTGTGTCTACATCCTTGGCATTTAAACATTCTCCCATAATTTTCTGCTTGAATATCTCTACCCATTCTTCCATAACTGTTTGTAACGGAGAGGTGTCATTTTTATGACCTGAGCCTTGTTCCACAAAATTTCAGCCTACTTACAGCAGGACAGATTCAATAGTTTTTCATGAATATGTTTATTCATGAAAAACTATTAAAATGTTTAAATGACACAGATGGAGATATTGTCTCTGCATGAAAATTTACATTAATTCATAATTAATGAACATATGTATCTATTTACAATACTTATTTTAAGTTACATAAAACAGTACAGTTGTCCCTCTATAGTCCGACATTTTTTAATCCGACATGCTCAGTAGTCCGACGCACCTCCCGTCAAGGTACCCATCCCCGTTACGTGTCTGCTTGCACAGAAGCATGTCGCAATGTGAATCTCCCCATCCAATTTTTACACGATGACACACATTTCGTGTGTTTCATGTGAGCAGTTCTGTTCGAACAGTTGGAGTAGAGAATATTGTAAGTTACTGCTGGCAAAACAATGCAAAATATGTAATTATTTTCAGTAATCCGGACACTTTTGGTAATCTGACACACCTTTGGTCCCATACCTGTCGGATTATCAAGGGACAACTGTACTTATATTTATGTAAAACTATTTTTGGTTTTAAAATTACTTTTATATGTTTGAATTCAAACATACATTAAATTTATACTTTTGAATTTGTTGCACTGTCAATTAAACTCCTGATGATGGTATATAAATTAGACTGAAAATGTTTGAGAAAAACATTTTTTTCTCAAACATTTTTACTGCTGTTATATTGGTGTGTTTGTTTATTTGTGTCCTGTTACAGTAGTATATATATTATATCAGTTATATCTCATATATACTGTATGATATCACATGTACAGGGTCATCATAATTTAAGTTTTACTTTGAACCCCTATAAAATAAAAACTACTGGACCAAACATTTCCAATCCTGGAAATACTGTATTTACTTGCTTATAAGATGATCTTGCATATAGGACAAGGTGTGACTTTAATGATCAAAATAAAGAAAAGTAGATTTATTAATACAATTTAATTATATTTTGTTTAATTACAAATAAAATGTCAAATGCATGTAAATGCACACATTGTCCCACAAACATTACTGGTATTTTAAACTTTAAGGAAAAATCTTTTAAAATCAACAACATGATTTGTTCATGTAAAGTTGGGCAATTGGGAACCTTTTTTGCCAATTCTTAACAGTCGAATCCACTCTCCGTCGATTACACTTATGAGTTTCTCCAAATTCTGATTTCCAAATAATCATCTGTTTTCACATGGGAATGGATTAAAACTTATATCAGGCTCTTGTGTGATTTTGGAATTTCAAATTGGAATTCAATTCAAAAGCTTTGCTTTTCCTATTACTATTCATCTTTACTCCTGATGATACACAAGAACTATTGAAACAACACAGATAAAATACTTTTGTTTTTAATTAAACACCAGAGGGTGAGCATCCAGTAAAAAATGCAAATACACAAGTTATTTAACAAAAATTATTGCAAAAACGTAAAGAAATCCTTCACTTGTGCATATTGGATGACCTAGGTTTTTGAAGCAATGAAATATGAATAAATGCCTCATCTTATATGCAAGCAAATACAGTATTATAAAGGTGGTCATGGGAGTTCATAACCTGCAAAAAATAATTAGTTTAAAAAGTCACCACCAGGGAGAAAAATCAAGGTTTATTCCATAAATAGATGACCAAACACACTACATATATATTAGAACACCTTAATTTTGCTGAGAATTATATATTTTAAACACAAACGCTTTCAACCTGATTAACAGGCCATCCTCAGGTCTAAAAAAACGAAAATGGAACAGATGGACCTGAGGATTAGACCTGAGGATGGCCTGTTAATCAGGTTGAAAGCGTTTGTGTTTAAAATATATAATTCTCAGCAAAATTAAGGTGTTCTAATATATATGTTTACTTGCTGAGCACTTTTTATGTCAAACACACTACAAACAAGTCCTGGCAGCAGATGTTCAATGTGCTGTCCACCATTTCTTGAAACAAGATGAAAATGCAATATCGTGCTCTCCAGAGTAGTTCTAAGCATATCAGCCAGAATATTATGAATATGCCAGGGAATCACGTCTATCAGCTCTAACAAATGTCTGATGTCATGATAAATGGTGCTTTAGCAGTAAAACCATATGACATGCAATACAAATTTGCATAAACACTGGGTGTTCATAAAGTGCCATTTTCTCTCTGGTGGTGACATTTTGAACTATTTGTTTTTTTGTAGGTTATGAAATCCCATAACCTCTTTTATAACATTTCCAGGTTTGAAAACATCTGATCCAGTTCTTTTGATTTTACAGGCAGTTCAAAGTGAAACGTAAATTATGATCAGCCTGTATATTTGAATATTCTATCATAAAAATTTTAATTAATATTAGGACTGTCAAAAGGAGGAGCTAGAGATTTTTTTCCCAGGTCCAGAGAAAAGTTAGGGCCCATAGCAATTTATATCCCTATAATAATAACGTTATTTTTACTAACAGAAAATAATATCTGCTTTTTGTTAATAAAGAAACATTCTACATTTTTCATTTGTTCAAAAAACAAAAGTAACTTATTCTAAAGCTCTTGACAGCATATCAAATATCATAAACTTTCTACAAATTGGAGATTGGAGTTGCTGTACATTATACACTATAATATACAGCATTGAATATAACAATGTTTCCAGAATTTTTCATATTTGTTTAGCAACATTCTACAGAAACTATTTTTTCATATTTTATCAGAAACTTAAAATTTTAAGTCATTTAAAATCCTTTTTTAGCTATTTAACATAAATATAACTATTTTGATAACTCTCAAAGTCAGTAGCCCCACTACTCCCAGACCCTGCCTTTATTTCCTTTTTTCTTCTTTTAACAAAATAAAATTTTTACATAGTGGGGGTATTAAGCCCTATGCACAACCCACAACCTGAGGACCAGTGATCCCACCTTAGTCTAGCCCCTATCCTCTGATCTGTTAAGTATGAATATCTCTATTGGTAGCAAAGCTGCCACCAACATAGCTCACGGGGCCTACAGGGCACGCAATCCTACTCACCACATCAAAGTGAAGTATCGGGAGCAAGAAGGTGTGAAGAAAGTTACTGAATGGTTTGAAAAATTGTAATCTCCTTTTGCCTGCTGCTCACCCTTTTCAGATAATGAGCATGAGGATATATATGTATGAATGTATGTATTTTGATAACTAATATTATAATTAAACAAAAAATTATTTATGAATTTAGAGCACATTCATAATTAAATTCAAAAATGTCAGGAAAAAGTATATATTAAAATAATGTTAATGCATTCAGTGGTTTAAAAGAATTTTAAATAATTAGTGTATGCTTTATGCTCAATTCATTAAACTCAATCATAATTCTCAAATCATTTGTAATTGACATTTATCCCAAAGCATTTTGAAATAGAATATTAACTGAATGGCCAAATCTTATTTTAAAAGTCCTCCACTATGTTTCTTTAACTTTAAAACTCTATTGGCTAATTGCCTAAATACCAAAATAAAACAGAAATGGTTTGTGTCAACAATCTGCTTTGTGAATGCTGGACAAATAATTCCATACATAATTTAAATATATGAAATTTATTACGTTAGTTTTTGATTTTCATTAAGAAAAAAATAGCATTTGAAACCAGTAAAATTTTAAAATAACTTACTAATATCTACTTGACTATTTATCCTCACTAAAATAAATTCAAGTAGGAGTTTTGCTTGAAATATATTTCTAGTTAGGCAAGATGCCATTAAAAAAATTGCTTAATCATTCCATTACCACAAAGTATTTCTTTCAATTTAATTACATTCTTTGATAAATAATAAAATGTTTCTTCCAATCTTCAATTAAAATTGCATTTTACTTAAATTTTAAAATTTTCAATATTCATTTGTACAAATAAATTGAAAAAATATTTTCTCTAAATTTATATTTCAATACCTCAAAACAATTACATATTTTCACTAAAAAATTATATTTATATTATTTTAAAATATAAACAGATTTACATCATTATTTATAAGTAAAAATATGTAGTGTTACGTATTTATTTGTAAATATAGTACCATTGCTACAAACAATAAATGTTAATTTAACATTTTATGGTTTATAGCAAACAATACCTTTAACTATAGTTCTTGGCTTCCACTTCAAAACAGTGTTCTTGAAAACTAAAAATACACTGCCTTGAATTAATCTGAAGCAACATAATTTACCAGTTTCTGTGTGCATTATGCAATTTTATTTGTAAAGTATTTTCATAATTTGTCAAACATATTGTAATAATTTATGACAATAAAAAAAAGCATTTCTTTTACACAAAAATCTCAGTTTTTAGTGCAAAAGAAAAACTTAATTTATTTATTTTGGAATAGAACATAGAGATTTTTTACTTTTGTAATGCATTCTTCACAATGTGAATAATTTTACTTAAAATTTAAAATAAAATTTTTATATAAAGCATTCTTTAATCATTTATTTAACAGAATTTTGTCACTCGACAATAAATCTGATTTATACTTTTACGCCATCTTAAAAGTAAGAGTTGACAAATTTCTTCTGCAAAGGCACCAAACAAACGACTCACCTTGCAAGTAAACCAGTTCTCCGGTTCCACCGAGGCTCGTCCACTCCGACGGAAACCGCACCCGACCTAATCCTCCATCACCGATAATTTTGGGAAAGATCACGACGAAGACGCGTGCAACCCCACCGAAACCACCACCGAACTCCAAACGGCCAACGCGTTCTTCCGTCTCCGCAGTCTCGTTCCCGAAGTCCGTCTGTCAGGTTGCCAAAACGCCACATCGTAGAAAACCACACCGAGAGAGACAGGAAGAGTAAGATCCAAAGCTAAATATATCACAGAAGAAGTCGCGTCTGGCGGTTATAAATAGAAGGAATTGAGATCCGATATAAGATTACCTCTTCGTCCGTTTTTAAGTCTTTTTTTTCCTCATCCGTCATTAATAAAAATGAAAAATTAATAATTTAAAAAATTTATTAGATTACAGATTTATTAAATTTTTATTTAAATGACACCTAAAGATTTTATAAGAAAATTAAAAAATATGAAAAGGAACTCCACAAATAAATAAACTTTTACATATTTATAGATATAAAAAAGTCACTTGTGTGTGTTTATTTATGCACACAAATATATATATAATGCACAGATATCAGAATATATACATATAGACTTATTACATAAATGTCTAGTGTGTATGTATATAATTATGCAGGCTGTATTCAAATACTGTATATTGTCTATTTATATATATGATATTCCTCACTTTCACACATAAGAGAGATACACCATATTACTGAATATAAATATACAGTTGCAACTTTTGTGTATATTTGTGAATTTTACATTTTAACATAGACTCAGATATACACACATACACAAGGTGCATATATATATATACCGTATCGTATATATAATGTAACACGTAAGATTTAGATACAATTAAATACACGCGAGTACATGCGTATACATAACGTATATAAATACGATGTAAATTAGAAAGAAATTAATTGATAATTTATTAAATTTTCGATATTTTTAGTAATCCAAAATAACGTTATTTTAATTTACATTTAAGTACTACAGAAGAAGAGTTGTGATATTCTAATATATAAGTTGTTTTCAATAAGATCGACTACACAAGCGATAAATTATTCTTCGGAGTTTTGTAATCGACACCGTAAACAAACGTAATCACGCATTCACGCACGTGTTGCTACGTAAATTTAATTGAACGAAGAGAAGAGAACCGGAAGCAGCTTTATATTTATATACAGTATATAGATATCCACTTCGTACACAAAGACGGATCTCAGGGGGAGATTTTTAATTCACGTGCTAAAATAACCAAGATTTTCTGTTAGTAAAGGAAGAAACAGCACTTGCGCAGGTTGTTCCATCCATCGTCCTCGTCGTCGTACTTAAAAGTAATGTAAAGACGAAAGGTCTTTCGCCGTTATTCTCCGCCTTTTCTCGCCAATCGAACATTCTTCCGCTTCCTTCCGACAACGCCTCGTTTCTATTTCCGTCGCCGTCCGTCGATTACTCGCCGCTTCTATTTTCGGCCGACCCACTTAACCGGAGGTCGCTCCTTCCCTGCCGAGTGTATTTTCTGCTCGTTCGAAGGTCTGAGGTCGCAGGTCAGAATCCCGCGCGTACCGCAACTACGTTTTGGTCTGGGAATTTTACAATTTACATTCTACTCTGTTCGGACCAAGAAAAGCGCGTCATCGACTTTTCCGCCCTCCCCTTCCACATTATCTACCGTATAGTTTGCGATGCAATTTAAAGTTGCGTTGATTGTTAGGCCGAGACTTCACTAGCGTAAAAACCCCGGCCGTAAATACTTTTAATCACATGACCTATTTGCCTTTGCCCTCGGATTGCGGTAGTGGTCCGGCTCTACTAACCAAGTTTTTACTATCGAAGTTACGGTACAGTACGCGTGACATATCNGTTTATAAATACATTTTTTTTCAAATTATTAAAAACAAATAGAAAAAATGCATACAATAAAAAGAAAATATAAAATATCTGAAGGAACTTTTTACATTCTTTTTTTTTCTCTCAGCTTAACAAATTTTTGTAACTTATTAAATAAAAAAGTTTTATTAACTTCTGATTAATCAATTTTTAATAAACTAATTCTGTTTTCAAAACTAAATAAATGATAGCAATAAATAACAAGAAACACCATGTTTAACCTATTTTCAAATATAGGAACTGTCCTACTCTCAGCACCAGGGTGAAATCAACGTTGCACTATCTGGAACCTGTGACTGGCGCTCGACGCGTATATACTGTATATCGCTGCTGACAAACGTTTTCGAGCGATCCCTTCGCTCTTCTTCAGGTCGACTGAAATTCCCCGGACGAAGTGACCGGACCTGTGTTAACCGGAAGGAAGAGCTAACCCTGTCTCTGGCCTGGCAATCACTGTTGGACACCTACCCGCCGCTTCCTCCCTTACCATACAACCGTGCATGCCAGAAACGACCCACCCCCTTGGAACCGACACCCGATCCCAACAAATAATATACACTCCGTCCAGGGAATTTCAGTCGACCTGAAGAAGAGTGAAGGGATCGCTCGAAAACGTTTGTCATCAGTGATATACAGTAAATATGCGTCAAGCGCCGGTCACAGGTTCCAGATAGTGCAACGTTAACCTATTTTCCTTATCATATCATTAATCTACAATTCTTAAATGATAAATAATACCTTTGAAAAAACTTACAATAAGGTAACTAAACACTTGATTAAACTGTCTTCCAGCAGTCTGTATTTTAATATTCATAACATAAATATTTAAATTCCAGAAATATTTAAAAATTGACTGGACCTATAAGTCCTATTGATTGATAAAATTTACCATAATCATTCTTTTATATAATTATTCTATATAACAGAAATTATAGAATCTAACAACTCAAAAACAACATGAAAAAATTCAGTTTACAGGTAAAAATAAATAAAATTAAAAAAGATTAGATATCAAATATTTACAAAATTCAGAATTTTAACAATGTATAATAAACAGACTTTTTTCCCTCCTATAAAGTTATTGTATGATAATTTGGGCATTTTTGATATTTATATAATTTTTATTTATGGGACTGTCCATAAATGATGCCCACGCTGGAGAAGAGGGAGGAGGTTATGACAAGTAGACAAAATCAGACATGGGAAGGAAAGGGGTTGAGCTTCAGTGGATGTCTGTTTATTTCATTAAATTTTATAGAGTTTATGCATTTTATTATATTTATTTCACAATTTCTTGTATGTTTTCTTTCTACCTATCTATCATTCATAAAATGATAAAGGTTTTAAGGGTTATTGAAGTTTTATTGAACATTCAAAGAGATGAGAGGATTACAGAAACTTAGACAAACTGGGAGTAAAAATTTCAAGAAAAAATGCAGGCATAATTTATGGACACCCCCTATACTTTAATTTAATATTTTGCATTATATTTTGTTTGGAGCTTAAATTTTTATAAATTTATTTTTATTTTATATAGCTTTTAAATAATGAATTATCATATACACACTTTTTTTTTCTGTTGCATACTTAGACCTATTTTTAATTTCATATTTACAGTATATACTACATTCTTTTTAAACACATTATTTCAAATGAATGTTGATCAGCATAATCACTAAGAATTCTTTTTGCAACATTATCATACTAATCACTTTACAGAAAATATCCTTACTAATAATACAAAAATGTAATTTAACTGCTTTTTATAACCAAATCAATATGATATAATTCTTCAAAACATAAATTTTTTTTATTAGATTCTACAATTTTTACTTTGGTATCAGATGTTCTGACTGTCAAAAATAACTAGTAATAAAATTTTATTTAACTTTATAAAAATTTATTCAAATAATAAAATATAAGTATTGTGTTAGATTGCTAACACAATAGGCTACTCACAATTTTTATGTTATTAGTTTTAGCAGTTGAATAACTGTAAATAATTTTTCAATTTTGGTTTTTTCCATTCTTAGTGTTGTAAAAGTTTAGTTTTACAAAGTTGTTATTTTCTTATTTTTTTATTTGTAAAATACCAGAGAAGAAAAATATTATAACAGGTAACTTTTTACATAATAAAAATACTCTATTATTTCTATCAATAGTGTAGATCGATTTCAATGTTTATATCTAAACACTTAACTGTAAAAAAACATATTTACTTCTGATACTAAAATATATATATATTTTACCATTAATCAATCATCTAATTTAAAATATATACAAAATATTTATATACATTTCAGATTTATGATTGATCAATTTTTAAAAATTGTTTATAAAATTTATTTTCCATCTCTCTCAAACTGAGATCATATTTGAATTATAAATGAAAGAAAATATACTTTTCTTGAAAATACCAAAATTTTCAAATTTACTTCTTTCTTAAAAATAAAAAGCTTCCTTCTGAAGTTTAAAAAATTTTTATTTCAAAATAAAGCTTTTGGATCTTTAAAATAAGTTTATTTTAATGTATATATTATTTATAATAAAATCACTAAAATATAGTTACCATAAGTAAACTTTCATATATTCTTTAACATATGTTAGATATTTTTTATTTCTATAATTATTTATTAAAAAGATGATAAAGCTAATAATTTCATAACAGTTTTATCAAAATATAACAAATTTTAATTTTATCATAAAATAATTGTAAATTTTTTAAAGTGAAAAAATTCTAAAAATTATCAAATAAAAAATAGTTTTATGTTTATATAAAAAATACAAAAATTAGAAAGGAAATCAAATTACTAATATGAAATATCAGTCATCAATCATAATTATTCATTCATGATTTTTATAAAATTTTAACCTATTTTGTAAGAAACAATAATTTTCACAAATTGATGAAATCTATTGTTGATCCAGACTCATACTTCACTGTCGTGTTGGCATTAATTAATTTATAATTTCAAATACACAATAATTCTGTCATTAATCACAAGTATTCCTGGTGAATTAGATACTCAATCAAATATGCATTCGTTGCATTAAAAGTTATTCACATATTAAAAGAAATTTAACAGAGATAAGTAAATGATAGTGATTTACATAAAATTATGATAAAATTTAAAGAAAATAGATATTAACTGTTAAGCTTAACTTGAATTTTAAAAAAATCTTTAAGCAAATGATAGAGTTATTGCAATAAAATGAAAAATAGTTTTTTATGTAATCAATATTATATCACAAGAGATATTATACAATATTTAAATTAAGTTTCAAGCATTATTCACAAGATTTTACAGAGAGATAATCTAAACAATTATGTTTTGAAATTTAAATTTTTGTCAATATGTACCTATGGGAGAATTAGTGAAGCTATTATTATTAAATTATTAAATTTATAGATATATTTTTAGATTATTAAATTTAT